CCGGCGCTCTGCCGGTAGCATTTGCGTGCTGTGTGCGGCGCTTGCTGCTTGCCAAGGGGTCGGATGTACGCCCTGGCGTCGGCTGGGCACCGGCGCACTGCCGGTATCCACCCACACACTCATACACACTCACGGACAAGCGCATACAATCAAACACACACCTCACCTACACACACCGACCCTTACGCATTCTATTTGTCTCGCCTGTCTCTTCGCCATGCTCACTCTTCAGCACCTTATGTCTGCAGCTTCAATCTTTCGAAGTTGTTCCCATTTGGGGTTATCCGGTCCTATAATTTTCATTGGGTCACCTTCGCCTTCACTTGGCTCACTTGTCGGTGCTGGATACCGCTTTCCTTTTCCCTTCTTGGCCTCACGAGCGGCGTCTTGAGTTGCCACATTGACAGCTCGAGTCAGGCCGTGCGCGCGGTGGAGACAGGTTGCTGGCGCTGGTGCTGTGAGCTGGCTCGTGGTGGAGACAGGTTGCCGGCGCTGGTGCTTGTGCCTTGTGGTTTCACGAGAGCCAGCCGATAGGCCAGGCTGGAGTTGGGGTGGGCGAACGAAGTGAGTACTAGGGGGCGTGGGGTGGGTGCTGCTGCTGGATGCCGGTGCCGGGTGCTGGCGCTCGTTGTGTGCGTGGTGGAGATTGTGGTGCCGGTGCCGGGTGCTGGTGCTGGGCTGTGCGCGCGTAGCGGAGACAGGGTGCCAGTGCTGGCTGCCGGCGCCGGGTGCTGGTGCTAACAGTTCACTTGTTGTTTCGTTTGATGCCATTGCTTCGCAATGATTTTGCTGGGCTGCATTGCTTTTAGCTATTGAAGGGGCAGGAAGTGGCACGTCGCCCTGAAGAGTCGGTCTTGGTGCTCGTAAAAAATTGCAGGATAGAGGTGGGTCAACATGGTTTGAATTTCATCTATTCTTGAAGCGCAAGACAAACCAGGTTGTGTCGAAATACAGCATCCCATGTTGGCACGCGCTCTTTGCACATTTTTCCGCCAAGCAGCCAGAACGTTGGTTTTGTTTCCAGTGTAAAAAAGGTTCCTGTGTGCGCTTTGGGGCTGCTGCCAATGCAGGGTGCAGTCCAGAAAAGCCTTTGGCATGTTTTGCTATTTGGGGTCTATGCTGGTGTAATTCTTTTTTGGCTAGTTTGGCTGCTAGCTTTCATATGAACCTGCATCAAATACCATTCATGCAGTCATTGTGTTGTCACGAAGCAGCCCGTGGATTAACGTGTGTGGAGGAGAAAAAAACTTGGCCCACGACCCACTACGGCCGGTGGCCTGCCCCTTTGACTCTGGCTTGTCGGAAAAATTCAAGCAGACAGGTTTTTGCAGCTGAAACATCAGACATAGCCAACCCTGAACTGCTTGTGCTGATGCCTTTGCCCTCATGTCCTTTGCGTATTTGTGTTGGATATGCCGAGGGAACAGAGCGCTTGATTTTGTCATGGACAATAAGGGTGGCCTCATGGCGCTCATGCTGAGTCCCAAACGCAAGAGACAAAGGAAAACAACCGGTTGAAGACAACAGGTTGGCTGAACTGCTCAACATTCTCTTTTGGTTGCTTTCGTCCGGGCGTGGCAAGGACAAAACATTGCTGATCAATGTGGCAGTGAAACGCGTGGGACACTCATGATGTAAGTCAGTCTGTCCCTGTTGCGACTGTGGCTGTAGGTATATCAGAAGTGAACCATTAGAGAGGTGATGCCGCCACTTGATGGGAAACCATGCGAGCTCTCTTTGACTGCTTGGGGTGGGCAGGGGCTTGCAAATATGCACATAGGATCGGTATCCCTTCAGGGCATCCGCGTTGCCCACCCATTTGTGTGTTTCCTTTGTGCGAACAAAAACTTAAAACCAACAACCAACTGTTTGTGGTTCCGTGTTGCTCGTGGGGCCAAGAGTAAAAAACATATCCACACGGATACCAACGGAAGCAAAAAATACGGAAAAACACATTGCAGGAAAGCCATATATAAGTGAATCAAAACCCTTTGATATTCCGAATATGGTTGTTGAGTTGGATTTTTCTGCCTGTTGGTGGGAAAGGTGATGTAAAGGGGTTTGTTCAGAGCAGGGGCATTATTTGCATCATGCATTTTGTTTCTGTTACCCTTGGGGTTTCCACTCCGACATAAGAGGGAGGTTTCACAAGAGAGAAAAAACATTGGGCGGTCGTTTCCAAATGACACATCCACTTCGGCATTCACCTCGTACATGTTGCATTTTAGATCATTGTAGTATATAACGACAAAAGAGGTAGCTGCCCGGGCCAACCCATTCTTTTGCTTATGTCTTGATCATCCATCGCTCTCCCTTCCTTGCCGGAACTGTTTTGCAGATGCACCTTTGGGCCCTGATCGACACGATCCATAATGATTACGGGTGACACTGAGTCGCACAGCTTTTGAGGATTGATCAGCTGGCATGGTTTTGTCGATCGTCGATCAGCGCACGGCATCAGGGCACTTGAAGCATCGGGAGTCGATCGGATCAGCCACTGAAGCCACTGCCTTCCACTCACTTGTGTAGGCTACTTCAGGACCAAAGCTGTCTTGGAACACAAGTCCAACACGTGGACCGAAAGAGAAGCAGGAAGATAGAAAAGTCAAGATCGGTGCCAAGGAGTGAGAGAGGGAGAAACAAAGAGAGTAAAGGGGGAGATACTGTAGGTGAAAATATCGAAAGGGAAAACAATGGGAAGGAACAGAGACAGAGAAGATGCAATGTTTTTCCCGCAGTTGGCCTGAGACACAAAATCAGTCCAAAAGCAAGAGAGGACGTACAGATAACGGAGCAACAAAACAAACGATTGGAAGAGTGAGTTGGATGTGCAAGACAAGCTGCCAATATGTCAATGTTGAAAGCAAGTCCTTTAAGGAGCAAAGTTAATGAGTAAAGAACCAACTTCTAGGATGGCAATGGGGGGTGAAACAACAGAGTGACAGAGCGGCACAAACACAACACCGCGAGAGAAAACTGTACAAAGCCCGGCTTTCAGTCTGTGTGCTTGAGGGCTGGCTGGACCAATAAAGGCCGTGAAAGTGTACATCGAAGGCATTGGGTCTGCCTACGCATCGTTTGTTGCATGTTGAGTCGGTGTCTTCATTTTCGCGGAATGCCATGATGGCTCAATCTTCACTTCACCGTGCAGCTGCTTTTCCCATCAGACACATGTAAAGCCCATTCACAAGTCACTGGCAGACTACAAACAGGCTTAGCCAATAGTCCATGCTGACAGCAATATCAACCTTCAGGGAGCACGTGCTAGCTTTTACATGCATGGCGCGTGGAGAACGACCCTTCATTCGCAGGCCAAATCCCTGTTTGTAAGATTTGTGCTCGGTTCCTTGGCACTTCTTGGTCCTTCATTGCGAATGTTTGGACCTGCAGGGCCTTGGTGCTGTGTGTAGTGGCAGTGGGTTGCTTGCAGCAAGGCAAGGCTGTTGGTGCTATGCTGCTTTCGACGAACCTTGAAATGTCAACAAACAGGTCTTTTGAATATCAAGACATTGGTCAGTTTCAAGGGTGATGTCAAAAGGGAAGAACAACTCAAAGAAACAACAGTTCAAACATGTGCTTCAAGGCGACATATTTGCCGCCGGATTGTTGCCAGGCTTTGTGCTTCAGGCTTTGTCTAGAAGACATGTCCAGAGCTCCAGTAGTAAAAGAGATTTGACCAAGTTAAAAACTGCAAACTTGCACTTTTTGTCAGTCAGGTCGGGCTGGTTGCTGGTTGCCTCCTTCTGAGCACTGGTGCCGGGGATGTGAAAGCAGCTACGTGTCTCCGGCCTTTTGAAGTGGAATCACATCAACCACCTGCCAAGTTTTCAAATTTTCGAGCCCTCGTTGCCAAGAGTAATTTGCGGTATGCTGCTTGCAGGGTGACACAGGCTGACAAAGACAGGCTAGCAAGAGGCTACAAAGAAATGTCTTGATCTGAGCTCGCTTGTCATCCTTGCTGGCTTAGTGATACTCAACAGAGTGCATCTTGAGGGTCTACATGATGAAGAATTGGGACACTGTCACACGCAAGTGTGAAAAGAACCAGGATTGCTGGCTGCTGGAATAGATTTTTGCGTTTTGGGATGTTCTGCTTGTTTTGTTGCGAGGAGAACATACAGCGAGCTTTGCAATCTGGGCAGGCGACAATGACCACCTAGAGCCAAAAAGAACATTCGAAGCAGACAGACTTCGTATCAGAGTGGTCAACAACTTGCGCCAGTTGTCTCCAAACAGTTGCGTCGCGAGCCCGCTAGTAGTTTGGATCCTAGGAAGGACCCTGTTCATCACATGTCCAGTCCTGTTCTCTGAATGAACGTGGGTAACATTACCGCTGAATATTGAGGGCAGGATTGCAGCTTGAGGTTCGGAAGTACCTTGGACAGACCTCTACAAAAGCTGATCTATTCAATACGAAAGACTTGTTGGTCAACCTGGAGGCCTGCTTGGTGGAAGCTTTTCAATTCCTCGTCATTGAACACATATATAGAGATTCAATCACTCCTCTTTTTGCCTGGTCAGTTGGCGGGAAACGTTGATTCAAAGTTTGAAGATGAGAACCTCGGACGCTTACAGTCAGAATCAGCGCCACAGTTCTCACTGAGAGGTATTCTGTGAGTATTCAATTATTAAATACTTTCAGTGTTCGAATGAAGAACAGAGGCGATCTGTATTTTGATATAAGTGAAGCACTGTCAAGGTATGGTGATTTGGTTGAGGACTTTGAAACCTTCAAGCGCCAGGAGGGAACCCGAAGTCGAAGCTGGACGGGGGCTGGGCAACCGAATTAAGGACGCTGACAACACAAAGGATTGCATCATTTGAGAATGTATGGCTACACCAGCTGCTAGGAAATTGACTATATATATATATAACCGACTAGCTTCTATCCTGGCAGTAGTGCTTTGTCAAAATTGTGGCAGAAACACTGTAGGGAATCGGCAGGCATTTTCCTCAAGCCTAAGGGCGCCTTGTTTGGCCAGCGGCCAGTGCGAACAATTGCGGATGCTTCCATTTCCAAGTGGGTAAAACTGGAGCGTATGCTGGTGGCAACTCATGATCTCTTTCACACCCGTCCTCAGGTGATTACCCTGATCAAAATGCTAGTGGCTAATGCCAGCAGCTGCACGTGTAGCAGGCGATTGTACCTTTCCATGGGCCGTTGAGGTGGATGTGCTGGTTGATGTTCTTAAGGCCGTTCTCCTCCTTGGTACCTGATCCAGATGTGATCAGGTCGCCAACTTGGCTGGGCATGATGCCAACGAACTTGATGTCCTCGTAGAGTAAGAAGAGTACCATCTCCAGTTGAGACGATACCCATCCAGTGGTGGGTGCTTCATGGACTAGCTTCTTCCACAAACGCTTTCATGATAGGGGTTGGGAAAAGAGCGCCTCGTCGGACTTGGATCAAGAGTTGACGCAGAATAGACTGCAAGGAGGCAAGTTGAAGCCGAGCAGACTTGTGTGATCGGAGCGCTCCATGTACTGCTCCAACAGCTCGGCCCCTTCGGAGTGAGGACTACCGCAGATCAGTTTCCAAGGAGGTTATGGCAGCTGTCGAAACCTACTTGTAGTGCTTGTAGCCTTTTCGCCAACCAATGTAGTGAAGCCACACACTCCTTCTTTTGAGTCAAGGTGCAGTGGAACCGCGGCCTCAGGCAGAGTTCAAGCGTCAACCCTCATGAGGGCTCCACTTGCCATCAAAACCGCGGCAGGAATGTTTTAGCAAATCGACGGCCTTTGTCCTGAAGCCTGAGGGCACCCTGTTTGGGCCAATGCGGGCAATGAATCTGGAGTGCATGCTGACACCTGACCTTCTATTTTCACATTCTATAGTATGTTTCTACAGTCATATTTTGGTGCCTAGAGCTCTACTCACCCCCTACTTTACCTGGCCTTTCCTCCTTTTCTATTTTTTCGCTTGTGCAATTAACTAATTGACCCTCTTCTTCTCATTTACTTCAAATAGCATTTTTTGCTGAGAACACTGATTTGCCATATTATAAAGTTTCTTCTTTTTTGCTCCTCTCTCCTCAACAAGTTCTTTCTAGGTCTACTTCGTTCCACAAGTTTTTCCATTGCTCTATTTTTGGCTTGACATTTTAGTTTCAGTCATTTTCATGGCTAACTTTTGCAATGAATTCAAACCAAGATGGACCTTACAACCCTATTTAAGATTTAGTGTCGCTTTGGTTTGAACGATAACTATCCATCATCAAGGACGAAATCGTCACCACAAAGTATAGATTTCTTGACGGAAGGCCTTCTTAAGGTTATGACCAACAAGAAGAGACACTTTTTATGCTCGATAGGACTTGTTTTGATCGAGGAAACAATTGAAACGAAAAGAGGTTGTGAGAAAGAAGGCTTGGAACAAGGAAGATGCTTGGAATGATGATTGTATATACATGTACACATTTGCAGGAAAAGACCTGTAGAACCGATAAGTTGGAGTATTGTATGATACAGGCTTTTGGAGAAGAAAGGACATTTCCACGCATGCACAACTTTTATCGAAGATGGAAGGACGATTGAAGCGGATGACTCTTGAACAAGAGGGCGAAACTATCAAAATTACACCACCGTAGACCCCAAACAGCTTGTGTTTTTCAAAAATCGGAACACTCTGCAACTAGTTCTTGCGACGTCCAGACCTGGGAGACAAAGGACTGCAAGGCAGGGTCCAGAGCTGGGAGACAAATGTAAACGATTGCAAGCGACACGCAGCCCAGAGCTGGGAGACAAATGTAGGGGATTGCAGGGCAGAGCAGCTGGGAGACAAATATGAAGTTG